GAAGCACTGCCTTCAATCCTGTCCCCAATCCCTCGAGTCTTAACCGTCAATGAAGAAACCGGAACTGACCGGGCTAGGGGCGAGGGGGCTCAGGCAGAGCGTCTGAAGTCACAAGGCCTCAACACTGCACCAGAAGAATAAACGATAGTCAGCGAGAGCCCTGGTGGAGTTGTATGCATCATCTCATACATCGCTCTCACTCTCTTTGTCTCCACGTGCTCCCCGGGGCCACAACGGCCAAGTTCACCGCATGGATGCAGTAACACCGAAACTGCTTTCGTCGTCATTATGACAAGCATCACCACCACCTGCAGCAGCAGCAGCATCATCATATTCATCCTCACCATCCTCATGCTTATCCCCATCCTCCTCTGCCTCCTCCTCATCATCATCATCATCACCATCAAGACCACCACCATCATAGTCATCATTGAGTCATGAGACATGGTCGTGATGACGATGATCATCATCACCATCACCATCGTCACCATCGTAACCGTCATAGCCATCATCATCATCATCATCGGCATAATCTTCATCATTGTCATCATCGTCATCATCATCATCATCATCATCGTCTTCGTCATCACCATCCTTATCCTCCTCCTCCTCCTCATCCTCATCATCATCATCATCACCATCAGCGCCATCATCACCGCCGTTCTCGTCATCGCAACCTCAATTTTCATCAGAGCCTTTTAAAATCAGTTATGCTAGTACTAGTAGCAACACCAACTGTAACTGGTGCTACTAGTAGCAACACCAGCATCAGGACTGGTACTAGTACGAGGACGACTATCACAAGGACGACAGTTACAACAACAACTGCTACTCCTTTTCATCATGATGAGAAGAACACGCGACAAGGTCATGCAAAGGACGCGCACATAGACACAGGTAGTTGCATGTTCACAAGAGCAGCAAACGGAGGTATACAGGTCCCTCGTTCTTCATCCACGCCTTCTGAAAATTTTCAAACATATGTGTTGGATGTCTATATCCACCCAGTCACATGTATGTCACAATTATGCTTGAGTGCATAGTGTACACCAAAAAATCACCATGCAATTATCATGCACAACAGTTCAGATTGTAATCACTATCGGTCTGTACCAATAAGAGCCTCTGAGGTTTTGGCTTGATCAGTGGGTGAGCCTCGACGAGATGGTGCAGCAGGGAATTATCACGTGCTATTTTCCCTGCCCAAGTCCCGTTAAGATTCAGGAAATCCACAATGCAGGCCTCACCTACCAGAACTGGTTTAACCCATCCTTTGGTACCACGAGCATCAAGATTCGACCCTACTTCGGTGAAACAATTGCCTTCTACTTCAAGTTCGTGGCGCACCTTGCGCAGTCCATGTTGGTTCCTGGCTTTGCCGGCGTGGTTTTCTTCATCCTGAGAATGGCTGGGGTGATCCAGCAAAAGGAAGTTGGAGCGGTGAGGACAGGATTCTGTCTGCTCTTCTCCATTTGGGCCGCAACCCTCCTCCAACTCTTCGCAAGGCACACCTCCCGGACCAAGCAATTCTGGGGTGTGGAGGAGAGCGAAACTTTTGAGCAGATAAACAAAGACTGGGATCCCAAGAGAACCGGCGAGAGAGCCAAAATGGTGGTCAACTTTGCCACGGTGGGGTACATTGCGGCGCAACTTGGCAAAGACTGCTAGTTTTCTCTGCCTACGTGGAAGTTATAGCCTGGACCGTGCCGAAATCTGATCGCCAGCACGTGCACAAACGCACTTTCAAAAGCCCCAGAAAGCAAGCAGCAGATGCATCAAGAACCCTAC